TAATTACAAATCTTAATTTTTCTTTACTTAGAATAATATAAGATAGAATTAATATGCATCATGACAGTTTAAGAGAGAGACCACAAAGAATGGGAAGGAGCTTCATAATTTAGTACATTTAATGGTACTTACTTTCTGCTTTCTGAACAAGAGCCTCTTCATTCTCTTTTTGCATTGGGTTCCACAGAGTATGTAGTATCTATATGTCTTGTGGTAAGATGGAAACTAGGGAAGCAAAAAACCTCTATTGGAAGTGATTTCTTTGTGACCTAAAGTGGTTTTGGCTCATGGGAATCAAAATAAAAACATGTATACTGAAAAATATTTGCTCAATATAATCACATATGAATTTTCTTCAACTGGTTCTAAGAATGGAAAATTTGCCCCAAATTTTTGTTAAACTATTATTTTTCTTCTTTCTGGTTACTCCATGCTCTTTAATTTTCTGTATATTTAAGTCCTAAACCTTCACCTGTAATTGTCTTTGAGATACAGTGTAGGACTAGGGAAATTATTCTTTTCTCAAAATGTTCAACTTAAGACATTGGTTGTCTGCTGACTCTTATTAGGACTCCTGAGTTTCATTTGTAAGCTCCTTTTATTTAACTGACTTCCATCCATTCCTGTCTCTGCCGTCCACACTCTAAAACACTGCTCTCTTCCACCTGGCTCTTGCTGCCCACCTCTATATTTTCTTTATGAAACTTGCCTCTTGTATCTCTTGGTCATATAGACCTTTCCAACTGAAATAATCTCATGCCACCATTTGGTTACTCCTATTTATTCCTCCCCTTATTTAGAAAAATGGAGATTTCTCAGTTTCACTCCATATAGCACTGACTACAGATCCACCAAAAAGCACTATACAAATATAAGTCATAATTATTCATGTCATTTTAATTATATTGAGAACACTTAACACTTTCTTTGGGCTTACTTCTGAACTTAGTTTGGAACAGCTAGGCACTGTTCTGAACTTTGTATGTATTAGTTCATTTATAGTCTCACGACAAGGCACTGAGGAAGTTACTAATATTTACCAATTTAAAAGTGAGAAAACTGAAAAAAAGGGATTAAATAACTTGTCAAAATTTAGTAAGGGGCAGAGGTGGAATTCCAACCCAGAAGTTCCCATTTGGCCTTCCTAAGGAGAAATGTTGGGGAGTCTCATGACCTCATACCTTAATGTGATATATTTACATTTAAAACTAGCACTGCAGAATATAAAGATATTCTAATAATTATAAATGTTAATTTTTCTTTACTTAGAATAATATTAAATGAAAAGCAATACCGATAAAGGGACGTGTATGGATAAAGGGCCTGTTTCCATGCACTCAAAGAGAGTGGGAAGCAGAACCTATTAAGCTTCACTTCCAGAATTGCCTACTGGAGAAATCCACCCATTCTTTGCCTCAATGGGTTTGTTCATTTTCATTTTATAATTCTGGAGAACACATTTTTTCTAGGAAGTTTGATTTCACTTTGATTTTCCACCCGAGATGGAAGCATGGAGAACCTGCATGCCTTTGCTCCTTCCCACAGATGACTGTCCTCACTGTGTGACCGGCCAGGGTACATGCTGCACAGCCATCCACTTGGAACTTCCTATCAGGACCACCCAGAAGCTGCAGCTGGTGCAGAGTGGTGGCTGCCGATTCACATGAGAATGTGACGCTCAGGAAGTGGACAGGACCTGCTTTCTGGTTTCAGCCAAAGCCCCCAATCCCCCTGGAAAGACCCAGGGTGAAATCTAGAAATATTCCTAGATTTTAGATCCTCGCTATTTTCCAAACATGGAGGTATTTCCTTCCCAGAGTTGGGACAGAAGGAAGCTGCTGCCAGGGTGCTGTCAGCTGCCCTTTGTCCAGCACAGCCAGCTGTAGCTCTGGAAACAGGGGTCGGACAGACTCCAAATGTGCAGATCCTCAGATAGGTCACATTGAAAGAACCATTTTCTCACACAAAGACTTTCCGTTGAATCATATCCTATGCACTATCTCTGTCTTCTCAGAGAGGAACAACACTGGACTTGTAAGGGGAAAAAAAACACGTCTTTAGAACCCTTGCCTGTATCTTTTGTGGACAGCCAAGTTCACGCCTGGCCACCACCCCAAGAGGGCATTTGGCACCACTCGCAGCTGAAAGCTTTCTGCTGGATGAATAACAGTATCTGGGAGAGCGGACATCGGGGGCGAGGGTGCCGGTGGAAGCAAGGACAGTTGTGCAGTGCTGTTAGTAATGCCTTTATCACTGGCTTTAGGTAGCAGATCTGTCACTGAACAAGTTATCTGACCTCTCTGTTTCTGTGAATCAAATCCCTTTCTACAATTTTGTTTGGAACTCTTCAGAGAGCTCACAATTTAAAGAATGTCTATAGCAGATCACATTATAAAACAGTGGTAAGAATCACTCCTAGGACATCTGCTTCACAGCAAACTTTAGATTGTCAAAGATTGAGTTGCCTTAAAATGAGGGGACCTGTACCAAAAGCTTTGTTTTTTTTTTTTTTTTTAAACTAGGCCACCCCACACCCTCTGTTACATGGGGCAAGCAGGCCCAAGAATGAGGATGCAGAAGTCAAACTCAGAGACAAATGTCACCAGCCTTTGAGACCTTTCTTCCATTGTTAGGCAGACAGCATGGCTCCCTTGGAGATGGAGACTTGAGAAGGAAAGGAAAAATAAACTAAGATTTATTGAGTTGGTATTGTGTACAAGTCACTTAATCAGACAAGAACCCCATGAGAGAAGAAATGAACAACACTTAATAAATATTCACTACCTAGTGGTCTTAGGGTAGCCATGTTAACAAATAGAAAATATAGAGTAGCTAGCTAAATGCGAATTTCACTTAAGCAGAATAATTTTTTTTGTGTGTAAATATGTCCCTTACAATATCTGAGGCATAAAAAGAAAAGTGTACCTAAAATTCACATTTAACTGAGTCCTCTATGTTTTACCTGACAACCTTAGTTATAATAATTCTAAGAAGTAGGAATTGTTGTCCTCATTTAATTGAGGAAAACTAAGACTCAGAAACCTTAAAACTTTGCCCAAGATGGTAAGTAATTTCAGAGTTGGGCTAAAAATCTGGTTCTGCTCATTTGTAAATCCTCTACATCAGCAACTGTACCACACAGTCATCCTAGCCAACAGAGAGAGTTCATTTCTATTTAGTTTTTATTCAGTTAAATAAGCTGCCCTGGGAGAAAGGACTAGCATCAATTTTAAATCCTAAACATTTATTAATGGTTTGTCTACCATTAACTAAGCTCTCTTTAAGACGAGAGAGAGGAAATGATACATTACCAAAATAATTTAAGAACCAAAGCCTGTCCTGAGAGGAAAATACAATGTCATGGAGAAGATGAATGGCACAGAGAGAAAGAGAGAGAGAGTGAGAGAGAGAAGAAAAGAGGAGGGGAGGAGAGGGGAGAGGAAAGGAGGGAAGGAAAGGAAAAGAAAATGGAGGAAGAAAATGCTTGATATGTTATTAGCTGCTCTCAAGTTTTTAAACAGGGACATGGTGTTAGAGTTCATTCTACTGAGAGAGGGAAATTGATGACTATCCCCAGTGCCTCTAAGGAAGAAGACCCCTCCCTGTAGAGAGGCTCTGCCTCTCTTTGGTGTCCCCAGCACCTTAGTTCATGGCTCCAGGTCAAACAGCAAATCTAAAGACTCTACAGCGCTTTGGTTGTCACATGGCTTATCTTACTGATGACTTGGATGACCTTGGCCAATCTGTCCAAAGAGGAAACTGCCCTTCTTGCTCTCAGCTAGCCATGGCTGCCAGCTTGGGTGAAGGAGATAACCTGGGAAGATTTAAAAGAAGGCAGAACCCAAGGTGGCAGATATTTGAAGCTAAAAAATAAAAAATAAAAAATTAGAATAATCGCAAAGTAATATTTGAGATGTCTTTTGTGTCAAACCCTGGTATCAGGTGCTTTATGAAGATTATTCCTAACCATCACAGGAAAACAGCAAGGTAGAAGTTACTGCTTATTATCTTACAGATGGGAACACTGAGGCTCCAAAATAGTAAGAGACAGGATAAAGGTCATCCAGATAACACGAAGGTCTTTCTGCTCTGAGCCCCTGCTCTTCTGTAGCACCGAGCTCCCTCTTTTTTTAAAACAAAGGGAACCAGAGCTCTTCTTCCCTCCAGACAGGCAGGGAACTTCCCCCACTACACAGAAAGCAGAAAGAGAGGATGTTCAGGACCTTACTGAGAAAAAGCAGGGCTAAATCCAATACCATTCTCTCTTATCTCTTAATTGAAGCCAGGGATATACAGGCCTGCTTTTGTAACTAACATCAAAAATAGAAATTGACACTGTACAAATGTATATCTAATAGTGTAGCTTGCAGTGTGACTCCTTTCCCTATATCATTTTACAAAATAGAAAAGATCTGGGAAGAGAAACTTGGACATACACACACACACACACACACACACACACACACACAAAGCTTATATTTTGATAGTAAGGGTCCTTTTTAAAGTTGAAGTTCTGTTTTTGATAAGAAAAAGCTCTTAAGAATGCTTTTTATATAGCATTGTATATCTGTATTTATAGTCGATACCTTCCTTCACTTTGCTTTTCCTATGCTACAATGCTAAGTTTCCCTTTATATCTTGCAACGGTTAACATTCTGCTTCTGAAAATTATCCATTAAAATTTTATCAATTTTGTATTTTGGTGAGACAGTATGAGGAAATGCCATTGTGAAATTAGATTTTTTCTTTGACATCAGGCGCCCAGTCAGCAATCCAATCCCATGTTTTTCTATTGAGACATTAGGGTTTGATATAATTTTGGGCAGAAAACATTTTAAAAATGAAACAATTGAATTTTCTAGATGGTCTTGGGGACCACTTAGCTTAAGAGAATACACTTCCAAATCAAAAGCCTTTCAATCATCTTAAATATTATTTGGATGATATTTGCTCTGTGTGTAGTAGCAGTTTGAATTTGTATTGAATGTTTGACCGGCTCATGCACACATAGATGATGTATGAAATTATTATTTCATATTTTTCTAGTGTTTGCATTGCAAGTGACATCTGGCTGACAGGAACTTGGAGAAATGGGATACGAAGTGAATGCTGCAGTTACCACGAGCATCATATTTATCAAAAGGTTTAAGGTTGGTCTGTCTTTGTTTAACATTTGAAACCTGGAACAGTGACTGAGAAGCACTACATTTCAGTGTGGTGTGCATTTTTAAACTGAGTTGTTTAGTAAGGGAGTAGTCAAAGAATAAACACTAATTGTATTATTTGTTCTGCTCATGAAACTAAGTATTATACATCCTAAATTTACGAAAACACACTTAAATTAGATTTGATATAATTTCCATACATTTTGCTTGTATTCAGAAAATGTACAGATTTTGTGTTAGAGGAGCATGCATATTGAGCACTGTTCGTCATTACTCACAAAAGGCGATGTAGGAGGAAAAACAGCTCACTGCATTTTAAATTTTATTTTCTAATTTGTAAATGTGCAAACTGGAAGTAAGACATGTGAAAACATGTAGTGTAATGTTTGCAAGCGCTGACTCTGTTGCAGTACACGCATATAAACACACACATTCTCTCCTATTGTCCCTTTTCTTAGAGGACATGTACAAGTTCTTAATTCAGTTCTAAGAAGTACCGTTCATTTAACAAAAGTTTATAAGCCTAATAGGGACTGTGGACCAATTGGGTGCTGGGGATATGCCAAAGAGTTAGACAATCTCTGCTCTTAGTAAACCCACAGTCAGGCAGCAGGAGGAAACCAATATGAAATAACGAAGTGCAATACAGGGTTACTGGCACCAAGATAAAAGTGTAGCATCATTGATAACATGGGTGCAAAATGGTGGTAGTAGGCCACTTCCACTATAGGGAAGCAGAAATGTAACAGGCAGGTCATTGTGAAATCCTTTCAGACTCACTTTTTTTTTTTATCACTTCAAGACATATACTTGAATATCTACTTCCAGTGTTTTTTCAATAGCATTTTAGTGTTGGAAAGCATTATGGTATTACAAATATACTACATATTTTAAAATACTGTGCTATGTTTATTGAAAAATAAAAAAACTACACACACATCATTATTGAATGTATTTCTATGTAATTCAAAACTCTTCCCATACATAGTTATTAATGACACATAATAATCTGATTGATATTCAATACCATAAATTAACTGTTACTCCATTGGGATGCTCGCTCTGTTTTCCCTCTCTCTCAACCAACAATAAGTTGGTGACTTCTGAAAAAAAAAGGCATTCAGGAGAAGAGAGATGCACCTCCAATGATGAGATTTCTGGCATTAGATTAAGACATGATTACAGGGCTGGGGATGTGGCTCAAGCGGTAGCACGCTCGCCTGGCATGCATGCGGCCCGGGTTCGATCCTCAGCACCACATACCAACAAAGATGTTGTGTCCGCCGAGAACTAAAAAATATATATATATTAAAAATTCTCTCTCTCTCTCTCTCTCTCTCTCTCTCTCTCTCTCTCTCTCTCTCTCTCTCCCCTCTCTCACTCTCTCTTTAAAAAAAAAAAAGACATGATTACAGCAGTAACATTTACTAGGCATCCTGCTGCTGTGCTATGTACTTTACATGTGCTCTTTGGTTTTCTGCCACAGGAATTTTGATTCAAGTGTAGTGTAGAGGAAATAGACTATGGATTACCTTGGAGCCAAGTTCAAGTTTAATTCCCAGATTTTTCTGAATGGGTGATTTCCAGAAACTAGTTCAATCTCCCTGACCCTTACCTTCTTCTTTCATGAATTGGTATAATTTCATCACTCATTTATATTTAATAATATTAAGATCAAATGATGCATAAAGGATCTTGATTGGCATAGGGGATGTAAGATGGGAGTGACAGGTCCCTCATCTTTGAGGAACTTACAGCCTAGTGGCAAAGTCAGACTTGGGAACAGGTCTGACAGATCCCAGGGGAATGCATTCTTCCTGATGGAGGAGCATTTGGGCTGGATCTCAAGCAGGTTTTTACTTTCTGTCCTTTGACAAAAGTGCTTGTCTTCTGTTAGTCAAACAATTATATACCCAGTGTCATGCATGTTTTCCCTGCCCCGAAGAAGCATACTAGTTAGTTTCAAGTCTTAAGGCTCAGGAGAATGTGGCTTCTGTTGCATAGACTAACATAGTAACCCTCTTTTAGACAGAGAGTCCTATAGATGTATCAGTGGCCAGTTTCTAATATTGTATTTTTAAAACTTCATAATCTGAATAAAGCTATTAATAAAATGACCAGAATTTTACAAATGGACAATTATATTAAGCAATATATAGATGTACCCTATAATCAGTTTTGGGTCTGCACATATGTCCCTACCTGCTAAAAACCTAAAATTAAAGCTACCATACTTTAAGCTACCAAATTTTCGACTGTTCATAATCTATCAATTTAAAATGCTTTGGATACCATTAAAACTGTCATTTGAACCAGAAATATAATTTGAGCAAAATTTTATCTTCCTTCTCCTAACAAAATTGGACCCAAAACTGTAAGAGAAGATTCACCAAATTATAGAAAGTAAATATATTTTCAAAAGTCACTAAAGAACTCCAATTTTAAAGTAAAGCCATCTAAAACTCCTATCTCCTGTTATAAACCCATGAAGTGTCAGATATTGCCATAAAAACGCTGCATAACAATCCATCCCCAAATTTGGTGGTTTCAAATAAACATTTATTTAGCTTTTGCAGAGTGATGAACTGGAATTTGGCTTGCCTAGACTGGTCACGACTGATGCTGGCTCTGTCCCATATCTCTTATTCTCTTCTTCAGACCTGTGCACTAGGCACGTCCTTCTTTGGTCTTCTCACCAAAGACCAAGTCCAGTTACTTGTCAAACCTTGGTTTGCATCACTTCTGCTGATATGCCACTGGCCAAGGTATGTCATTTAGTCAAACCCAAAGTCAAAGATAGGAAGAGCACTGCATGGTTACATGGAATACAGGAAGTGGTACAGGACAGGGGCCATGAATGCATATTGCCCTAAGAGGCCATATAGTTTTCTATGAGGAAAAATGGAGTCTAAAGTTGGTAAGATTTTATCTTTTATTTATTATGTATTTTATAGACCTTCTGTATTTCAGGCACTGACATTTTACCTCTGCAATCCTACAAAACACATTTCAATATCCTGATTGTACAGATGAAGAAACTGAGTCTCAGAGATGTTGAGGCATATGTCTGAGCTCCCATGGTTGGTCAGTGGCAGTCAGCAGCAGGAGCTAAATCCTATCTATGGACTCTGAGCTTTGGCATCTGTTCTTTCTACTATGTAATGATGCCTGGAAGTACAATTTCAATTGTGAAATTTAAGAACCAGAAGAAATCTAAGAACTCATCTAATCTCATTTTATAGATGAAACAACTGAGCTGTAGAGAGATCATTTTCGTACTTTTATCATACTAGTTAATAGAAAATCAAGGAACTAGAACCTGTGTTTCTTGACTCCTCGCTTGTTCCTAAGTATTATGGGTTTTTGTCACTTGACTACCTGCTGTGTGCCAGGCTCTGTGTCAAATCTAATCCTCTGTTGCTCAAATCTATTCCTGATTATAGAAATGAAGAGAAATGGAAGATCATGTGAATACCTACCATACAACACAATGGATGTCTTTGTTTTCATAAAATTCACTAAAAGTGAGATTCTGAATTCTAGCAACCATCTATCCACTAATGTATATGGAAGATTTTCTCTTTGGCAATGACCAAACTCCAACATTTCCCAGAAGCCAGGTGGGTCCAGGGGTCTGCAGGGTGCTATGCAGGCAGCCCGAGTCCCACTGCTGATGGAGAAGGTGGACATCCAGTGCATTTTGGCAGCTGTATAACATCACTGAAATCATACCACTGCCAAGCCCAAACTGAATTAGAGCTGACCTTAAGATGGATTTTGAAAACCGTTCAAATAGATCTCTCTTTTTGGAAAGTTTTCAGAGTAAAAAAGGAGAAAACAATAAAATGCCTCCAATTTGCAGTCCCTCCCTCTGAGATCTGCTACATGCAGCCTCCATACTCTCCCCAGCACTGAGTCATTATCCCCAGTAGGTCCTGCAATCTGAAGTTGGATGGAAAACAAGGGAAATATGGTTTAGAGCTGCTTGCATGAGTTCAGAACTGGACTCCACAAGGTGCTGGGCTAGTTGTAGCCTTGACAGGTGGACAGAGATGTGGAGAAAAGTTGGGGGGTACCTTGTCTGGGTATAAGGGTTACTAGGGCAAGGCATTCAAGTTTTCCTCTCAAAAAATAAAGAACCACATAGGCCAGGGCCCGCCACATAGTAGGTGCCCAGTAAATATTTCTTTGTTGAATAATGACTGAAGTCATAATTCTGTCCCTAAATTTTATTTCCTATCTGGTTGCATTTCCCTTGATTTTGGAGAGAAGCAGTTTGCTCAGACATAGTATCACATAGAGGATGATGATTTAAGCTCTGTATTTCAACACTCAACCAACATGTTTGAGTGCTTACTGTGTTCTAGACATTGAGGATATGATAGCTGGCAAAACCATACATGATTCTTACTCATGTGGAGTATGCAGTCTAATGAAATACATCAAACATGGGTTTTGGATCCTGACGGTATCACTTATTAGCTCTTTGTGGATGGATAATTTATTAACTTTGTACCTTTGTGCCTCAGTTTTCTTACAGGTCATAGAAAAGTATGCTAGTGGTACTTAACTCAATTTATATGCACATATATATCCTCACATATGTATATACATATATATGTAATATTGTTTGGGACTTAATAAGCACTACATAAAATGTTTGAGGATATATCATGTATTGCTATGAAGATTAAATATGAAAATTCATGTAAAGAGCTGTGTATGATATGGCCTTATATCAAGAACTTCCTAAATGGAGGATAGTATAATCTATTATGGGAAGTTTTAGACATCATGGCAATTCTAAGCTTCATGTGGAGAAGGTGGGAAAGAGTAAGGAGTGAATTGGAGGGGAGAGCAATGCTAGGTCTCCTGCAACTAAAAATCTGATCTGTTTTCTTATTCTCAAACAGATGCTTTGAGCAACACATGGATACACACATACTCACACACACAATTTCTTTGGCACTTTTAGGGATACATTT